TTCACAAAGATGGGAGGTGCTTTGCCCAGTGTTACTCTTCAACAGCTGCGCCATGGGTGTTGTGAATAGGAGAGGCCGATTTGCGAAGACGTGCGAGGTCTTGCTGTGTTGAGGGAAACGTGAGGGCAAACGGGGGGGACAGCGCAGAAGGACCAGTGCAAAGCAGTAATCACCAGTTGAGGAAGGAAATAACTGCTTGGCAGCAGTGGAGCAGACAAAAATCTCAGTGCATCAAGGCTCGACATGAGTCAGTGCTGTCACATGGCTGTGAAAAAGGCACACGTCATAGGAGGCCGTGTAAGGAGTTGCATGCTTCACAAGGCATCTGAAGCATTCCTCCTGCTCCTGGTGCCGGTAAAGCCGTGGCTGGAGCCCTTTCTTTCCTGTTTTGGATGCTACATTTGAGGAAGATGTGGGCCAAGAGCAGAGAGTCTGGGGAGAGCAGCGAGAGTGGTCAGAGGGCTGGAAACTGTGAGGAATGAGAAAAGCTTGAAAGGACCTGGGATTGTTTAGTCTAGGAAAGAGCAGGCTAGGGGAGGGGGGAATACAAAAAGCTTTCAAAGACATAAAAGGCTGCTGCAAAAAGTGAGGGAATGATCCGTTCTTAGTAGCTAATAGGAAGAAGATAACAAGTCATAGGCTGAGCAAGGAAATGTAGTCATTGGGGAAAACTGACATAAGTGAAAGGCTGATGAAGTACTGAAACCTCTAAGTGCGTGTGGGCTTGATGTCAGGAGGCCTTCAGAGCACCCACCTCTGGGTAGGTGAGAGAGGAACTCATCTTGCTTTGGCTGGTGGGATGCACCATGAGATCTTCATAGCCTTGTTTTCCTGTTGTGTGAAGATGATTTTATAAGGCTTGTGATGAAATCTGCCTCTTTGGAGGCAGGCCCGCATTTCCCAGATACTGCCAACCTTCATGTTACAAGACAGCAGGGATTACACGTGACAGTGCCACTTTATCATTGGTATAGCAGCAATTCCTCAAGGTCCCGGTTGGGCTGCAGGCTCACACCCAGGTGGGAGGAAGCCTTGTTATTAAGGACAGGAATACAGAACATGTTCACCTGTAGTGGGACAGCGAGGGAGCCCTTGGCTTGCTGTTTGTCCCTCTGTGTGACCGTGCTGGGTGATGCACAGGCACAGTCCTTGTCCTGAAGACACTAGGTGGGTGCAGGGGAATGCCCCTGCCAAGGCAGAGCTCACCAGCGTGCTTATTTGCTGGTTTAGGGGCTGAGTTGGGCTGCGCTTTTTAATCGTGAAAAGCAAGAGCCTGTCTTTGTGTCCTAAATAGGCGATTGTCCTGATTCTCATCCCCAGGATCCATTATGTCTTAGCAAATTACTTTCTCTTTTTTTAAATGCCTTGGTGATTAAAGATGCCACAGCAGATACCCTTAATGAGTACAAAAAGGGTAATAATAATTCCTCTTGTTGGCACCAAATGCAATTAATCAGGCCCCTTCACATGCTTTTTAAACAGATGAGGCATTTAAGGCCAAGCAAGTTTTTAATTGGACTTTAATGTTTCTCATTTACTTCATTTTGGCACAAGCATAGGAATTCCCACCCCCAGGTTTGCTGTTGGATTTGTTCAGGGTGATGAAAGGCTCAGTGCAGAGTGAGGACTCAGCAGCAGGCTCGAAACATGTCCTTCAGCCTGTGCCTGGCTCCATCTCGTTGCCTGGATCAGGCTTGGTCCTGCTGCAAACAGCACAGAATTGTGCAGGCAGGAGCAGAGCCAAGTGTCATCTAGCCCAGGGCTTGCCTCCAGCATGGGGCTGACAACAGATATTAGCAGTATTTTTTGAGTAGTCATCAACGCAAGGGTGCAACATAGCCTGCCCTGTTCCGTTAGGTTCCCTTGCCTTGAAGGGACCGTTGACTTGCAGGTATCCTTGCAGCTATGTGGAAGCCCTTGATGGAGGTCCATCTTCATAACCTAAACTCTGTAGCTTCAAACATGGGGTGAGTTGTATCTTTTAAGGGATATTCCTGAGATCCACAGCCAAGAGGAGATACAGAGGCCTTGTGCACTGCTACAGATGGATGTGTGCGTGTAGAGGTTGTTAATTTATGCTAGGAATTCCCGTGGGGGAAAAGATGTGTGACAACTGACCTTCACCTAGCCTGCAGCCCCTGCTCCCTGCTGTGAAGCCAGCACAGCCTCTGCTTCCACCTCTGGCCACGAACCATCTTGCCTTTGGTTCCCTTTGTTCATGAATATCCTCCACTGTGGTTTGGGGATGGCAGTTGCCAGTCAGCGTGTCCCAGCCTGTGTTTCATGCAGGGACATGTGCTGCCACCCAGCCAGGCCGATTGGCCCCTGTCCCAACTCAGCTCTTCCCCACCGTCAGCTGGCAGCTCGAGGTTCAGCCGAAAAGACATCGATCTTGACATGTGCGAGCCTGCCTCTGAACCTGTTTGTCACTCTGCCCCAAAAACTATTTAGGAGACATGTAGGGACAAGGGACAACACCCTCCATTTCTGCATCACTGCTTCTCCCACTTCAAAGGTAGGCAGGATTGTAAGCACAAGTGAGTCTGGAAAGCTAAGTGTATTGCGAGAAATGTGTAATTGAATACCTTGTGTTAATTTAAATACCTTCTGCCTGCCAGGTGGGGGGAGAAGAGTGTTGCCAGCTGGACCAGCATCATCAGACCATAGCACTTCTCTAGGTCTGTCTCAGAGCATCTTTGCTTTAAGCCTCTTGCTAAAACCCAAGGCCTCCCAGTGCAGCGTAAGGAACTGCCATGCATGAGCACCATCCATGGATGGTGCTCATCATCATGCATCATCGTGCTCATCATCGCCGTGGACGGCTCTGCCATCCAGGCGGTTGCTCAGCAGGGACTGCCACAGGGGATGCTTGCTCAATATTTTGTTTGGTTTTGCCTTCTTACTTGTCATATCTCCTCCCACTCCCTTGCAACTTGAACACACGTCTGATGCTGGGTTTGGTGGTTGTGCAAAGCTCACATGTAGTCCTGGATAGCCAGACGTGGGAACCAAACCCCTCCAGTTTTATCTTGTGCTGAGAACATCTTTGCACGTTTTGCCCCCTTGCACCACTTTCCTGCTACCTGCAGATCAGGATACTCAGAGCCATCACGTCTTGAAAAATAAGGAAGAATCGGAAGCTGAGCGAGTATCAAGGTTTTATTGCGTGATCGTGATGTGAGGGCTGTAGACATCTTGATGAGACGTTCAGGGATAAAGATGAATAAAAGAGCATCCAGCTTGCTCTGTGTCCCCGCAGAGTGAAAAGTGTGGGCTGTTGGCACGTTCTCCAGCGGTGGGCAGGGACTGAAAGAAATAAGAGGGCCAGGTCCTAGGATATTTCTGCTCCTCTGGGTGGGCAGTATTAGGAGGGGCAGGCATCTTTGTCCTGTGGCTATGGAGCCTGCCAAGATGCCTGTAATCCAGGGTTTGTAGCCTAGATATATCTATGTCAGGAAGCTGCAACCCCAGGTGACCATGGCCAGCCATTCTTGCATTGAGAATCTTCTGGCTGAGGCTTACAAAGATGTCATTTTCTTTGATTTAATTCCATATAAACTGCGGAATTATTTTCCTTTAGAGGCTTGCAAATTATGGAAGCATAAACCATGCTAATGATCCGATAAGGACAGCTTTGGATGCGTTCCTGAGAACGGCTACCCCTGGGGCAGGACGAGCTTGGAGAGAACGGATGGAGAGCAGTCTGCCATGCTCACCTGGCTGCCTTCCTTGCTCCGCACCCCCCACCCCCCGCCAAATTCCTCAATCTCTCAGGAACGAGAATCATTTCCTCTCCGGCTTCTTGCAGAGGCAAGGGCCCTGCAGACCTGAAGTTATTTCTGGAATGTGTGTAAACACTGAGTTCAATGGGATGCTGTTTGCCCCCCTCTCCTGGGAGGGTTTAAGAAGGGGTTAATATAAGTTTGTTTTACAGGTTCCTAGCTCTGAGAATTGTCTTCCTCAGAGGGTGACCCGGCTGACCCGAGTCCCTGTGTGTGCATTTCCTAGCATAAAGGGGAGATTCGGGGGCCTCACCACGTGGGTGGGATTTTAGTCCTCTAAGAACAAGGAGATGAAAGACCAAGGTGGTCTTCCTGCTAAATGGGGACCTGGGAGATGGTGTAGGATCACAGTGCACGTGCGCTGGGATGGTGTAACTAACAGCATTTAGGCAATCCTTGGACAGAAACAGATTTGCAGTCAGGAGAAGGGTGGGATTACACGTGGTTCTCGTGTCCCCATCTTCAAAGACTGTTGAAACGTAAGCAGGGGGACAAAACCTGAGAAATGACGTACGGGCTGGGACAAAATGCATTTCAGCGAGAGGCAAAAAGAGCTGCATCTGTTCGTCAAAAAAGAAAAAAAAATCAGATGTAAGTTCGTTATGGTGTACAAGTATGTTACTAATGAGACCCACCTGGGCACCAAAGTACTCTTAAATTTAGAATAAGCATTGGCAACCAGAACCTAAAGCTAGACAAAATCAAGTTAAAAACAGGCGTACCGATACCAATGAAATGGTTAATTCCTAGATGTGTTGTCAGCGCTGGTGACGCACTGAGGCTGGATCCCTTCCAGAAAACAACACTTTAAACCGAAGACAAAGAACCGGGCTTAGCACAGAGGTGATCAGTGGAATGGCTTGGGCTGGTATATACAAGGGGTCAAACTAGATGATTTAATGATCTCTTTTGGCCTGAAAGCTTTCTGTTCTCTTAAGAGGATAAATGAAAAAGCCCTTTCACAAAAAGTGAGCACTTGAGATATGTGTGTAATGAACTCTGCTGCTTCCAGGGGAACAGCGGAGCAGGATCTGCAGGAAGCGTGACCTTGCTGCCTGCAGGCTGCCCGAAGTTGGTGGCCATCTGTTTAGTGGAGGTGGCTCACCACCATCAAGGCCACCACTCTCACACATGACGTTTCTCAGCTCCATTTTTAATTGCGAACTGACACTGTCTCCCTGCATTTAAGTAACGTTTGCTCTCTTACCTCTCCGCCAGGGTGAAGAGGCCAAGCGGCATGAGCAGCCTCCTGGGGAAGATTGGCTCCAAAAAGCAGAAGATGAGCACACTGGAGAAATCTAAACTGGACTGGGAGAACTTCAAGGAGGAGGAGGGGATTGTGGAGGAGCTGGCGATCCATAACCGAGGGAAAGACGGGTAAGAGGGCCTTTACCTAGTAGGAGTCCAGCATTTCCCACCACTTCCTATATATGTAGGAACCCCTCGCTTGCTACAGAGTGTTCAGCAAACCCATGGGATTTCTTAAGAATTTATTCTAGGGATGTATAAAGCCAGTAGCTGGTCTAGGCATCACAGGGAGACAGGTAAGTCTGCAAGCACCTATCGCTCTCCGTTAACAACCTCGTGAGTTCTTCAAGTCCAGCTAAAGTAGAATCTGGTTGGGCTTTATCTTCTCTCCTACTAGTGGCACAGATGCAGCGTGAACAGGTCTAATGCAGCACTTCCATGAGGAAACACAATTGCCTTTGCCCAGTTTTCCTTTGTTTAAAAAAAAAAAAACTTCAAAATGGGGGGTATGTTTTTTGTGCGTTCTTCAAATGACATGTTCCAGCTGCGTCTGCCCTCCCTCCTCCTGTGTAAAGATGTATGCAAACCCAAAACAGCTGGCAAGGTGCATTAAAGATTATGGCAGCACTGGGTGTTGATTGTGTGCATCAAGCAATGTTCAGTCCAATGAAGTTAATGGAAGTATCGTAAAAGTAAATGGTGATGCTGTAAATAAAACAGAAAGTTAATAACACGCACTGCAGGGAAGAGATCAGAAGCGGCGTTTCCACTACAAGTGCTTTGCTAAGCTATGGGAAAATGCAACTGGCTTAGTGGACAGCTCATAAAAAATATTTTTGTTGTAAGCTGCTCTTTTACGCTGCAGGAGAAACTCAGAGCTTCTGCATTCCATCAGATTGGATTTTGTATTTCAAATAGATATTTTATAACTAGGTTTTTCCCGTTTGGTCTTGCACCCTTCCACAGCAGTCCTTTTCCATCAGATCTGCCCTGATCTGTTTCTGGACACTTGCCCTTGAAAAAGTAGAGCAATCCAGCAGGAGTGCTAGAGGGGGGCAGGTGTTCCTCTGAGATCCCTGAAATCCAAGGAGGTGAGTGATTTACATCGCGTACAAGTGTGGCAGAGCACATGTGCACCAGATCATTGCTGATGCTGTCTGCGGCATGGCGAACGCTACGGTCAGAGCTCCGTACGCAAGGCTCCCCATTGAAACGGCCTGCGCCAGGAGCCTGGAGGCAGAGCCAGGCCGTGTACCAGGCTCTGTCTGAGATGGAGGAGGAGCGTGAGCTTGTCCCATGAAACCCCATCAGGAGCTGCAGGCTGCTTTGGGAGAAAACAGGGAGAAGTCCTGTTTCTGTCTGTGACACCTGGCAGGTTTGTCCTGAGGGGGTGTGGAGTGAGAATTTGCTCTATGCAGATGTCCTGAGTGTCTGCCAAGTGTGGTAACAGATTTGGGCTGTTTGCTGTTGATTTTGCTATTTGCTGGGCTGATGGTGGTAGTACCACCATTGAAAGCCAGATCATCTCCTGCCAATTGCTGGGACACACGGTTTATTTCCACAGTTGGTGGAATCAGCCTGAATCAGGGCCCGTCACTCTCAGCTGGACTGTACACACCGCAGACAGGCCAGGGTGCCCTGCATGCATGTTTTGTGGCATCTCTTGCTTGTTCAAACCTAGTATATTGACCTTTCTTGGACAGTGCTGTTTCCCACCCCATACAAGCAGGACAGCTTGCTCTTCATGCCTGGCAAACCTTTCCAGAGACACTAACGTAATGGTCCTTGAAGGCTGAAGAAGGGATCAGCACATTGAAAAGATGAGCAAAGCAGAGCAGCAATTTTAAGAGCATCTGTAAGCTTGGACAGCTTTGGGTTTTGCTGCCTGTCACATCCCAGGCTAGAAAATCCAGGGTGATATATTGGCAAGTGATTTTTTTCATTAAACAAACAAGAAACATGATTAGATGCTCCTTATGAATCTGTTTGTGCTAGTCAGGCACGTAGTGTGAGGGGATTGACCGAATATCTGCTCGCCATGAATAACATCCACCTTCAGGGTAAAGGAAGGGAGAAGGGAGGACCACCGATGGTTGTGCAGCCCACTGCATTTCTGCTTACAGGCCTCCTGTAAACGCCCGTGGTGTGAAGCATACCGCACCGTGAGGGAGCAGCCAGCCTGCTCGGGGGGCAGATCACGCAGACACAGCTGCCGCCTCTTCTCCTTTAATAATGTAGGCTCTGCTCACCCTTCAGTGGGCAATCATTTACACTTCTCTATAAAAATCGTAACGAGCGGTTGTTAACCCTTCAACCCAGGTAGGAGGGAGCGGGGCACTGCCTTTATCCCCGGTGCTGATGTGCTGTACGTTAGAAACCTTTGCTCCTCGTGTGTCCTGCTTTTTAATTGTAAATGCCTGATGAGGAAAGCCACAACTCGCTCCTGGAAGCGTCTGCCCAACACCACGCCTGCCTGTGCGCTGCAGAGGAAAGCAGGAGGCATTTCTTTTTGTTCAGAAGGGAAGGCAGGATGAATTTCTCTTTTTTGTGGTAACCTTGCGGAATTCACTGTTAACAGCCCAGAGCTCCTTGTGCCTTGGACCTCCCCGGCCCTTCTCCAGCAGCAACATGTGCTTGGCCAGCATGCTGGTGGCCAGTTGAGTAACGAGGCCATGGTGTCTTTCTGCTCCTGATGCCGGTTATCAGCCAGCTGCAGCCTGGCCCCAGGATTCCCGAGGCAGCGGGGACACGTGCTGCCCCGTGGCTGCATCCACCCTTGCCTCTGATTTTCCACCCCTCATATCACCAGCCCCAGACGGTGATTTGCATTTCCCCAGCAGCAGGTTACAGGCTTGTGCAGTCTGGTTGTGGCAGATCCTGAGGGCCTGTCCTGGATTTGACAGGAGGGGCTGAAGTAAGGAGCAGAGGCAGCTATCCCCTTTGCTGTCGCTCTCTCTGATGTGCTTTATAAATGGAAATGCGTAGCGGCCTCTTAAGTGGGACGCATTTGTAGGGCAGGCCCAGTAGGGGAGCAGCCCTGCTCCGGGTGCGGGGCCCGACCCGTGCGCTCATGCACTGGGTGACCCATGGTGACTGGCAGGGGACAGGCAGCACTAACGAAACCCTCCCCAGAGCAGTTTGCAGCTGCCCTCGTTAGCAGAGACAGCCTCTTCTCCCAGCAAATTTACCTTCCTCTGCTGTGGATCACAGCTGCCCTGTTTCCACGCGGGCTGATAATTTACAGGAAGGTATTGATTCAGGTAGCAAAGGTTATTTAGACAAGCCCAGGACGGGTGTTTTTGCCTTGCTCACGCACTTTGTACCGGCGTTTGGCAGCACCTTGCTGTCAGCTGCACGGAGCCAGGTTAGGAACCAGAAACAGAGCCGTAGCTTGGGCACAGGGTTTGGTGGCTTACGCCAGTCCTGGAGACCTGCTGCTTTCCTGCTTGTGTCCGTCAGCACCTCCAGCCTTCATGTGCACGCAGTACAAGCCGGACAGACTTGTTCCCAGGCTGCCTGCCCCACAAACCCCATGCGTGCACAGGGAATGCCTTGCAGGGTCTGCTCTGGCCCCTGCAGCGCTTTCCTGTGGCCGGCCAAGGACAATGCCACGGGATAACGTCATGGTTCCTCCTCCATGCAAAGCCGCTGGCTGTGGCCGTGGGACCGCATTCCTGGTTCATGATCCGTATCGATCCCCCAGGAGCTAGTCCCTGCCTGCCAGAGAGGCACAGCAGCCATGGAGGAGGAGGAGGAGGAAGGCACTGACTCCTTGCTGGGGTCTGGGAGAAGGGAGGTGCAGAGGGGGACGAAGGAGCTTCAAATTTGGTAGCTTGGGCTGTTGCTGCCTGAGCGGTTGGCGTGTTCCCAGGCTACCAGCGGTAACCCCTGTCCCTTGTCTTCCCAGCTGTGGTTGCGGTGGATGTTTAGCAGTGGAGGGGGGAGGAAAACCACACGCCCAGCAATGTGACACGATGTAATATACAGTGTGACCCCCCCCGACTTCCTTCCCGTGGCCTCTCTGAGCCCGCCCCAGGAGTGGGTCACCTCCCTGCTTGCGGGGATGAAGGGAAGCGACACTCCCCTGCCTGCCTTTCCTGAGCCAGTGTGGGGCGGGGGCCTCAGCACACAGCCCTCCTCCAACGGCGAGGGGCGGGGGGCCAGAAAAATACCTCCTCAAGGCCAGCATGTCCTCTGTGTTTCGCTGCGCTGGGCCCCTGCCCCTCGCGGCTGGTGGAGATGAGCTGACCCAGTTGTGTCAGCGCAAGACGGGCTCGGGCTGCGATGGGAGTGAGGTGCGTGGGGCTGTTCATCACTTGCTGAAATGAATTTGGATTAATTCATTTCCAAAGACAGTGGGGTGGGCAGGAGTGTCAGGGCTGTCCCTCACAGCAAGGATGAAGGCACCCTGGTGCTGGTAGCACACTCAGCGACCGTTCGATAGTTGTAGCATAAAGCAGAGACCTCATCACCAAAGGCAGTGGAGACCCTCTGTCCTGCAGTATGCAGGACCTTCCCATGTAGTATGGTCTTAGACACCTTAGACATGCTGCCAGCCACCCGGGAGCCTGGAAAACCCACAGAGCCTGGGGTACTCATCTTTTCCTTTAGCCTTCAGTTTTGCTTTCAAGCTGTGGGCTTCTCTGGTTAGCAGACACCAGCTGTGGTGCAGGAGAAGCAGTGACCAGCAGAGAGAAGCCGAACGCAGCGGCTCGTGCATCTCGCGCTGGTGCCCAAGCATAATGACCTTGTCATGACAGCCCAGTGTTTGCCACCCTGGAACAAATGCAAAACAATTGTGATGATTCAATTACAGCTCCTGTTTTGAATTGCAATTTCGCTCCCTCTGTAGGTTAATTAGTAGCACAGCCCTGGGCTATTTGTGGCAAGGGTTTGCAGCAAAGTACATTAAAAGTCAGCTGCGTGCCATTAATGAGCAGCAAGGTGTTTTTCCAGGCACACGCGAGTTCGCCGCCTTCCTTGCAACACTCCCTCGCTGAGAGGGAGAAGTAAATACTCAGTGGTAGTTAAGAGCTGGTCTGTGGCTGGGAAGACCCCGAGGTGGCGCTTGCTGCCGCTGGCGTGCTGGGTGATGCTGTTTGCATCCCTAATGCTCCCTGTGCTGTTATCAGCTCGTGTCGTGGGTCATGCTGCTGCGGTTGGGTTTGAGATGCTTTGCTGGGGGGCTGTGTGGGCAGGTCACCTGAGCAGCCAGGGAGGAGCATCAGAGCTGCCTCTCCTGCCAAGGACCTGCCCTGAGCCTGTTCAAGTTGTTTGTGAAGGTCATTTCTCAGCTGTAAGAGAAGAGCTGGAACCAGAAGCAGCCAGCCTGTATCTCCAGCCTTTGGGGGCCCTTTGCCCCAGACCTCTGTGAGTCCCCCAGCAGACACTCAGCAGGCCATGAAGCAGTTTTGGTGCCTGTAGGAGAAGCTCAGTGCAGTGATCAGCTCCTGGAGAGAGAGGGAGGGAGGGAGGCAGATGATGCCTTCTCTCCCGCTTATCCCTTCGGATCGGCTTTGCCCTGGCTGGGGGCAGTGCTGGCTGCCGCGAACACTGCTTACAGCCTGTGCCTCTCTGCTTCCCTGCAGGTACATCGAAAGGAAAGCGTTCCTGGAGCGCGTGGATCACAGGCAGTTCGAAATCGAACGAGACATCAGACTGAGCAGGATGAAGCCCTGATGTGCCGGTGGTGGCCGCAGGGGATCCTGCTCCCTTCTGTGCCCGAGCGCTGGCTGGGGGCTGCCAGCCACTGCCGGATCACCAGGCATGGAAGCCATTCTCTACCCAAGACTCAGCCTGTATGTCCCAATGTACAGGTTTTTCCTTTTACTGTAATAGTTTGGGGAGGGTATTTGTCAGTGGGCAGGGGACACTTTGAGGGTTAAATGGCCCAGCAGGTGACAGAAGAGACCGGCGTGATTCTGGCAGGCAGCTTTCCAAGGAGAAGAGATGGTGGCACCCATCCTTTGCCAACCCGGGGTACTTCTGACAGCAGGAGGAGCCGCCAAGGCTGGGAGGGTGCTGGAGCCTGGCTTAAGGCTTGGCTGGTTGTGAGAGGAGAGCTGTGGGAAGGTTTCGTGGCTGCTGTGCCTGTACAAGCCATGGGGTTTGGGGCTGGAGCCCTTCTCCCTGCTTTGCCAGCCCTGCAGCACTCCCTGCCTCTCCATGCTGGGCTCTTGCCTGGACAAAGCTGAACTGTCTGTACTTGTTTGTGGGGTCTGATGATGCTGGGGGTGGGTTTTAAGCAAGTCGATGAAGAAATCCTTCCTTGTTCATGCTGTCAAGAAAATGGGAGCAGCTGCAGCAGGCAGGACAGACCAGGATACGAGCGTTCACATGAATAAAATATTCCATCCCGACACTTGCATGCTGGCAGCGTGGTTTGTGCAGGAAGCGGAGGGCAAAGAAATTAAGGGTCATATGCAGTAACGAGCGTCTGACTGCGATCGTGAAAATCAGTGCCCGGTGTCTGTCTTGACAGCAGCCTGAGGGTCAGAGCAAGTGCTTGGATCGCTTTCCCTCTGCAGTACTGGGCTGCTGGTCAGATTAAATCCAGAATTGGGGTGGTCATGAGAACAATATAGTCCTTCTGTAGCAGTGCTGCAGGAGCAAGGAAACACACCCAAGGCATGGCCACACAGGGACATTCAGCAAGTGAAGCTGCCTGATTGGGCTGACTGAGGCACCCGGGCACGGAGCGAGCGGCCAGAGCTGGAAGCCGGCAATGCACTGTCATGTCAGCCGTCCCTCCTGCTCTGCCTGGCTGAGTTTGGCAGCTCCCGATGTTTGGTCCGTGCACGTCCTCGAAGCAGAGGCTCACCAGCCTTTCCCTGTGGGATGCTCTGAGCCCGCTCAGCGGGGCAGCTTTGACCATCTCCTGTGCCGGTGCTGTGCTGGGGGGAAAGCGGCACAAGCCCCATCCTTCCTGCTAACAGGGTGAGCGATGCTGCCGCTGGCCCCTTGCCTGTGGCTCTGAGCGTGGTCTCAGCTTTGGACTCACGTGTCAGCTGCTGAGTCAGCCCTTGCTCTGTGGCTGCGTCGCAGGAGAGACGAGAACAAAACACCATGTGCTCAGGGGGAGCTGCAGCCTTTGGCGCTCTGTTATGTACAGAATCAGCTGTTACGGACCTGCTTAAACGAGCTTAAAATTGGACAGAAAGATCAAAAGGCGTGATGACATGTTTCCATCTCCACACACTTCCAAGCCAAGTTGCTGCTTTGGTTTTGGTTGCAAAAATAACTGGAGTCCCTGTCTAGGTCACTAGTGTGGGGACGTTTGAGCTCGGGACTCCTGGCTGGCAGCAAGCAGCCCTGGGCCGGACCTCGGAGGCGGCCGCGGTGTAAGGCAGCGGCTGCTCCGGTAGCTGGGCTGCCATCCTGCTTCGGGTGGTGGTGCGGGACCACCTCTGTCCCCCTCTCTCTTCCCCATGTGCTGGGCTGGGGAGGCAGCTGGGTCCTGCCCTGCTCGCAGGGACCCTCCCAGCAGGGACCCCAGCGCAAACCGAGCTTGCCTTGCAGCAGGTCCTGGCTGCGGGCGAGATGCACGGGCAGCAGCTCAGCCAGGGTGGCTGCAAGCGTCGAGCAGGCAGAAGGGACATTATTTGCCTTTTGCTATACTTTGCTCTGCTGGGGCCGAGGAGGAGAAGAGGGGACATTGGGGATCTTCTCTGCGCTACATTCCCCCATGACTGTGGTCCTGGGTCCTCGCACGCTGGACAGAGGTGGGGAAGGGCCATGTCAGCCCCACACAGGCTGGGGCCCCGCGGCACC